CTTGCCACCTCGATCCGATCGAAGGGCCTTAATTTCTCTCCCTAACTGTTTCTTAACTTCTTATCTGAACTCCTTGAACTTTTCAAAGGATTCGGACTTCTGTCTCATCAGGTACACGTAACCACATCGTAAAAAATCATTAGTGAAAGTGATGAAGTATGCGTGTTGGTTACGGGTCCTGACACTCAGGGTACCACATACATCAGTATGTATAAGGTCAAGTGTGCCTGTACATCTTTTAGGCTTACCGTTAAATGACTGTTTTGTCATCTTGCCTCGGAGGCAAGGTTCACAAGTGGGAAGATCTTCTATGGTTAGAAAATCCAAAGGACCATCCTTTACCAGTCTTGCGATTCGATCAATACTGATATGGCCAAGTTGGTAATGCCGCAGGCACGTGGGACTAACTATATCACGAGTCCTTTTCTTGGGGATTTTAACTGACGTAGTTTCGGTTAGGATGTAGAACATAGAGACCATTCTCCAGTTCTCCGCATGCGATGAATTTATTATTCCATTTAACAGTAATCGTATTATTAAAATAAATAGTATATCCATCAGCACACAGGTTAGAAACAGAAATCAAATTTCTTCTTAAGTTCTGTACATAAAGATAATCTTTAAGTACAAGAATTCCTTCTCTAAAAACTAGTTCTATAGTTCCAATTGCTGCAGCTGCAACACTTGCAGTCGTTCCCAAGGAAAGCGTCACTTCCCCTTCACTCAGCCTTCTGCTTACTTTGAACCCCTGCAGTGAATTACACGCATGAGTTGAATCCCTAGAGTCAACACACCAGGACACAGAAGTGACTAACAAATTAGTCTCAATGACACAAGTTTCGAAAATACCTTTCTTAGATTTCAAGTAGGCAGGACAGTTCATTTTCCAGTGGCCGGCTTGCTTGCAGAAGTGACAAGCATCGGATGCCTTGTCTTTATTTTGTTTCTTAGACTTAGTGGCCTTTTTCTAGGGTTTTCTCTTTGCCCTCCTCTTCTTTCCAGATTTGCCAGATTCAACAAGCATGGCTATCGGCTCATCCTTTCTAATCAGTTCCTCGGCCCAYTGCRACATGTTGYTGAGCTCTTGAACGCTGACATTCAGCTTGTTCATATTGTAATTCATTATGAACGGATTGAAGGACGGAGGCAAGGAGTTAAGAATGGCATCTATCTATGTGACCAGATCCAGCCCGGACCCAAAGGCCTCTAGCTCGTTAATGTAACCCATCATCCGGAGACAATGGTCATGAACTTGCTGCCCCTTGGTCATCTATGCGGTCATGAATTGTTTTAGGACCTTCTGGCAAGTAGAATAGTTCTGCTCTTCGTACTTAGTCTTCAGACTATCCAATATGTCCTTGGCAAGTTCGATCTGATCGAACTGCCTCTGTATCGGATTATCCAAAGAGGCTACGATATAGCAGCGAGCTAAGGAGTTTTTCTCCTCCCATTCTTGGTATTCCCTCCTGCGGGCTTCAGAAGCCCTATCTCCCGGACGATCCGGTGCAGGATTCTTTGCCACCTTATCTAGTTTTTTTGAAGTTAGGATCAGCATAAGGTTTTTGTACCAGTCGGCATAGTATGGGCCCTTAAGCTTGTTGTCGTCAAGCAACTTAGCAAATTATCTGTTTGCCATTTTCTGATAAAACAACAAAACGTTAGTCAACAACCTTAGTTTGATTCATGTTACCTACATAGATATGGCTTTTAATCTATGTTCCATTTCCATTTGTTCATCTTTGAGATTTCCCTCCTATCGCAGTGACGGAGACGGTGAAATGTCTCTAGAAATGTGGAAAATCACGTAGGGTGCGTGGAGCCAACTGTTTCAGCTGCATAACCCCACCACCTTTTTGTGACAGATCATATCCACTCATCATATGAGTTTCCCTTTGGCCTCTGTCAGACAAGGTTCAGAGCCGTTTTCAGGTAAACCTTTCTGTCCAGTGAGTGCTCACCCATCATATTCAGGTTACGCCAAGGTACCGTGAGAGAGTTCCCATTTTCTGGTGAAGCCCCTCCCACATCGGTCTATGACGCCCCTATCATCTTATGAAACACTCTGACAGACCCAACAGCAAATGGATAACCCAATTTTATGGTGTGTTTCCTCATTACTAAAGGGCCAAGTGCTTATGGCCCATGGTCGCAACACATCAAACATCCACACATCACATGATATGGAAGAATTGATCCAATCAATTACTCACTGTAAAGCCCATTAATCAGCCCGTTTAAAGTCCATAATATTAACCAATAATATCATCTAGGTATATGGGCTGAATCGCAGTTAGCAGTTCGGCCCATATAGCTTTTATGTAAAACTGGGCTTTTGCAGTTTTAAACCCTTAAAATTGGGCTTTATAGACTTGAAAGTGGGAAATAACAGAACTGAATACAGTCCCTTTCGAACCCTAGATTCGGTCCAAACAGCTTTGGTCCAATCTGGTCCGAGACGGTCCAAAAACCAATCTTTAATTCAAGAAACAATTCAATGAAAGATCTGAAATTAAAATTCCAAATTTTGACAATCAAAATAGATCTGGACTGTTCGCACAACCTGCAAAATAGAGGTTAGTAACTAGGGTTGCAGTTTCCCAAACTGCAAAACGCAGATAACAAACTCTTTATCTGTGAATCTCTAGCGCTGCCACCTTCTCAATCAAGAAAATAAAAAAAGAACAAAAATCCTATTTCTATTAAATAATTACATTCTTAATTGAATCCTATACATTCAGTCTAGAAAAAAAAAATTATTTTACAGACCGGAATGGATAGAAACTGCAAATAATAGGTGCGTAGACATTCTGCGCCAAAATGATCTTCGAACTCCATGTACGAACAATCCATTAAATCAGAAATAAAATAAGAACAATTCTAAATTAAATTTCAGATTTAACAAAACTTAATTATAGATCAATCGCAAAACAAGAAACAATTTCTTGAAACAAAAACTGCAAACTGCAAACTGCGCAATACCCAGATAGAACGGCTTCTACCGAATTGCACAGGTTCAGATCTGATCTCTTGGTTCACGATTCGAACCTATGGATCTGATACCATTGAAAGAATGGTAGGATCCATCATATGAACGCCAAAAAGGTTGCAGAATGGGTGAGCGAATTTCAAAAATTTACTACCTTTCTTCCAACTAGGAATCGCATTCCCTTATTTTAGAATCAAATATTCAAGGACCTACTCAAACCAAACCAGACCAGATCTGAACCAAAGATCAGGGGAAGCGTTATACCTGATATGGAGAATCAAAATCTCCCAACGTCRGTGTTAACGCCCAAAGAAAGATCCAAGATATGCTCCCGCTGAAGATGACACAGCGATGGCGGGGCAGAACCAGCAGTGTACGTCTCACGTACCGATCTCTTCACAAGAACTCGTTGGAGGCTTAGAGCACCGAACCAAACCAGCCTTTCAGTAAAGACTGATATCAAGAATAGATTTCTTGATTTTCCCCTCAATGGAATTCGAACTATGCAGGAAGGTGGCGGCGGCTGGAGGAGATCCCTAAGGCTGAAAGAGGCGTGAATGCAGATTTCAGCTTAGGGAAGATGAGATCCTATCGCAGATTGCAGAGAGTGTTAATTGCAAAACCCTAGGTCGAATTCTTTTAATTCTCTATTTGGGTTTCCTCCTTTCTTAGTGATTAAGAAACCTCCTAATCCCATTAGGAGTTATCCCAATCCAAATCTGTACTTGGATAAGGGATAATTTTAATCTTATCTGCAAATTAAATCAGCCCATTCCTGATCTCATCAGGAGGTTAATCCTATCTGTAGATTCGCCCCCTTAAGTGGGTGATCATATCAGCCCAGTTTGAAATGGGCTTTTAGGCCCAATAAATGAATAGTGCTCAATAAGTTTCCAAATTGCTGCCTAGTTGGGCTTCTTTGTATGGCATGGGACCCAAGCATTGATCTCCACATCAGCCACATGGGTTCGGCCCAGCCTTTGTTACAAGGCCTAGCCGAAGTCACTAGAAAACCCAGTGAACCCCTTGAGCCTATTACATGGACCCTATGGGCCCAACACTTAGACTAAGTGGTACTTRGGCCAAGCCATCTTATAAAAACCTAGCGACTGTGGGCATATGCAAGATTAGCCCATCAGATATTATCCTAAATGGCCTTACACTTAACCTCTCAGCCCATAATGATCAATCTCTGCCCGACAAGAGAGGACCTCTCCCTCGGCTGCAAGAAACAGTGTTGCACTCTCCACTCACTTGGATCCCGGGAATTAAAACCATTTGCAAACATTTTGAAACCGTATATAAGTATATATCATATATATAAATTTTGCAAAACAAAATTCCAACGATTGAAATTAACTACCGGCAGTTTGGTTTCCATCCGAGAGAGTGCATCCTCGATCATTACCTTTGTCCGACAAAGGGGCTGATCCCGTCACTATGATCACCCACTCAGATGAATTCTCGGACTGCCCCAACATTCCCAGGTTTTGACCCCCGCTAAGGATCTCACTGATTGGCATATCAAAGATAGCCCAATCCGACATCTAGCGCAGCACCATAATCGGGTGTTGGGGTCAGGTGTAACTTTCCAGTTCTGCCCATCAATCTCCAAGGTCCAGGGCAATACTGGAAATCTGGTCCGGTTCAAGGGTTCAAGTAATCCTACACTGCGTGTACCTTGGGTCTCACCCTGGCGGCTGAGACAAGCCACCCCAACAGTTGGTAGCACACCAGTGTCAGCCCTGGCAGGATAAATCTCCCCAGAGTTATCCAATGGCTGTGAACATTTAAAACTAACACAAGTCTCATTAAGTGTCCAGTTTTAGGGTCTTACACAGAAGCATACAGCACAACATGAATCAAACATGTACTTTATTTATTTACATTAAATATCAAAAGTAAATCAAAACTTATTAGAGCTAAGGGCATACAAAACTGTCTAACACATAGTAAATGGTATGAAATTTCTTATCTTTTCGTTGCCCTAAAACTACCCCCAAGGTATCATTACTTGCATCATACATGATTTCGAAGGGTAGTTCCCATACCGGAGCTAATACAATAGGGGCTTGAATCAATTTTTCCTTAAGAGTGTTGAATGCATGCAAACAATTATCATCGAATTCAAAAGGTACATCTTTAACTAGCAGATTTGTCAAGGGTTTAGCTATTTTAGAAAAATCCTTAATGAACCATCTGTAAAAACCTGCATGCCCAAGAAAACCTCTAATGTCCTTTAGGGATTGAGGTGGAGGAAGCTTTTCAATCAGTTCTATCTTAGCTTTATCCACTTCGATGCCCCTGGATGACACTTTATGCCCTAGAACTATTCCTTCCTTAACCATGAAATGACATTTTTCACAATTCAAAACAATGTTAGATTCCTCACATCTTTGAAGTTCCTGTTCTAAATTATGCAAGCACTCATCGAATGATGATCCATAAATGAAGAAATCATCCATAAATACTTCCATGCAATCATCAACGAAATCGCCAAACAAAGACATCATGCAACGCTGGAAAGTAGCAGGTGCATTGCACAATCCAAATGGCATTCTCCTAAATGCAAATGTGCCATATGGGCATGTAAAAGTAGTCTTCTCCTGGTCTTCAAGTGCAATGGGTACTTGAAGATACCCGGAGTAGCCATCTAAGAAGCAATAGTATTCATGCCCTGCGAGTTTCTCTATCATTTGATCAATAAATGGCAAAGGGAAGTGATCTTTCCTAGTGGCCTTATTCAACTTCCGATAGTCTATGCACACCCTGCAGCCAGTTATTGTTCTTGTGGGAGTCAATTCATTATTTTCATTTAAGATTGCAGTGGTTCCCCCTTTTTTGGTACAACTTGAACAGGACTTACCCATGATGAATCAGAGATTAGATAGATAATACCTACTTCGAGCCATTTAAGAATTTTTGTCTTCACTACCTGTTGCATTTTAGGGTTCAGCCTTCTTTGTTGTTGTGCCTTGGGATTGCAGCCATTTTCCATCAAGATTTTGTGCGTGCACACCAAAGGGTTAATCCCTTTTATGTCGGCGATGCTCCATCCGATGGCCAATACATGTTGCTTGAGCACCCTTACCAGCTTTTCCTCTCGGAGACCTGTCAAATCAGAAGAGATGATTACAGGTAAGGTGGAACTTTCTCCCAAAAATATATATTTCAAATGAGAAGGCAAAGGTTTAAGTTCCAAAGCTGAAGGTTCTTCGATGGAGGGTCGCAATTGTTTGGTATAGGTCGGTCCATCTAGTGGTAAAAATTTTTCTTGTCTTGGCTTGCACCCTTCCTGACCGGCCTCCAAATAGTTCAACGTCTCCTTAACTTCCTCCTCCAAGACCTGCATGTTTTTACAAGAATTAAGATTGCAGCTTTCTAAGGGATCATCTAATTTAGATGCGTTAATTTCAGCTGCCCAAACATCAATGCAGTCGATTGCATATATTTCATGTTCCATTGTTTTAGGATATTTCATGGTTTTAAATACATTAAACACCACTTCACCATTGATTATAAGGGTAAGTAGACCTTTTTGCACATCAATTAAAGCATTACCAGTAGCAAGAAAAGGTCTCCCTAAAATCAGAGGCATTGTCCTATCTTCCTCCATATCCAACACGATGAAATCAGCAAGAATAATAAAATTGCACACTTTGACTAAAACATCTTCTACTATTCCCCTAGGATATTTAATGTTAGTTCATGCAATCCAAGTTTTTTAAAAATAGAATATGGCATTAGATTTATACTGGCACCTAAATCGCATAAAGCTTTTTCAAATTCAGTATTTCCTATGGTGCAAGGTATAGAAAAACTCCCTGGATCCTTAAGCTTTGGGAGCAATTTATTCGGAGGATGGCTGAGCACTCTTCATTCAATTTCACCATCTCACATTCCTCCCATTTCCTTTTATTCGACATCACCTTCTTCAGGAATTTGGCATATTTTGGCATCTGCGACAATACATCAAGAAGAGGGGAGTTAATATGTATTTTTCTAAACACTTCTAAAAATTTCTCAAATTGTTTATCCAAGTTAGCTTTCAAAACTCTTCTAGGGTAGGGGAGAGGAAATTTAATAACATCTAAATTCAGTTTAGGTGTACTCCCTTCGGTCTCCTTTTGTGAATCGGCYACTTCAGCTTTYTRATCATCATTTTGGGTCTCGCCAATAGTCTTTCCACTTCTTAAAGCAATGGCATTCACTTGCTCCCTTGGGTTCTTCTCTGTATTGCTAGGCAGTTGTCCCTCTCTTCTTTCTAATAACAAATTCACAATCTGCCCCATTTGGACTTCTAAATTCTTAATAGATGCTTCTTGATTTAAGAATTTCTTTTCGTGATCTTGAAACTTTGCTTCAGCAGCATTAATGAACTTAGAAATCATTTCCTCTAAATTTCCCTTATTTTCTTGTGGGGGTGGCTGTTGTTGAAATCCCATTGGTGCTTTTTGTTGGTTGTTGTTCCATGAAAAATTCGGATGACTCCTTCACCCTGGGTTGTATGTGTTCGAATAGGGGTTGAAATTTGGCCTGCCACCATGAGAAATAAAATTAGCACTTTCATGTGAAGCAAAAGGATTACCTACTGGACAATCAGAATTTATATGTCCTAATTGGCCACAAAGATCACATGGATTACTAGATGACACATTTATTGCTGCAACACTAAGATTGTCTAGTTTTTTATTCAAATTAGCAAGTTGAGCAGATAAAGCTGCAAAAGAATCTATATGGTGTACTCCCTTTCGATCAGTTCGGTCATTATTCCATTGGTAGCTATTTGATACCATCTCTTCCACTAGATCATAGGCTTCCTCTGGAGTTTTCCTCATGATTGTGCCACCTGCAGCTGCATCAATAATGGAGCAATTAGATGGAATAATATCATTATAAAAAGTTTGAATTTGGCGCCAAACTGGTATTCCATGGTGAGGACACTTCCTAAGTATCTCTTTAAATCATTCCCATGCCTCATACAAGGATTCCCTCTCTAATTGGACAAAAGTAGTAATATCATTGATCAATTTTGCTATTTTAGAGGGAGGAAAATACTTAGCCAAAAATTTGTGAGTCAAGTCATTCTAAGTGGTGATACTTCCTGCAGGGAGTGAGTTAAGCCAATCCTTAGCTCTATCACGTAATGAGAATGGGAAAAGTCTAAGCCTAATAGTATCATCGTTAACTCCATTATTCTTGAATGTGTCGCATATTTCTAGGAAGTTAACAATGTGTGCATTAGGATCATCACTTGACAACCCATTAAACTGAATACTCATTTGGACCATTTGGATAATCGCAAGCTTGATCTCAAAATTATTGGCTTGAATCGTTGGCTTGTTAATGCTAGAAGTAGACCCATCAATTGTTGGACAAGCATAGTTCAAAAGGGTTCGATTTGCTTCGTTTTCCATTTCTTCCTCAACTTCTTCTGCTGGTTCGCATCCTTCAACCTTCTCTTTCGTTTTACCTTTGTTGGCTCTTTGCAGTATGCGAAGGGTTCTCTCTATTCCAGGATCGAATTTTGCTAGTTCTTCACCTCTACTGCGTCTCATACACTAACTAATCTGAACACAGCAAGAATTCGAATAGATAATAATAAAAGAAGAAGAGAAAAAAAAATAAAAAACCAAATTAACCAAGGTTAACAAGTTCTAATATTATTTTAGGATTAAATCCCCAGCAACAGCACCAAAAACTTGATGGCTATAATTATGTAGCCCTAGCAAGTGCATTAGTTATCAAGTAGTATAAAGATATCGTTCCCACGAGGATTTAACAAAATAAGTATTAGAACTATAGCCTTCCTTAATTATTTGGACAACCGAATTTCAGATCTAATAATAAGAACTACTAAAAATTAGGAATAGAAGAAAAATAAAAATAAGGGTGATTAATGGCAAAACTTGCAACGATCTAATTGGAAGCGCTAGGACTATTGGTCCACCTAACCATTCCAATGGATATCAATTTATTAGATTAACCAAGATAAATTATTATCCTCATAAGCTGAAGTTTTTCTAAATTTATTTAATATTCCTTCTCAGGATGTATCAAATCTACTTCAATCAAGTAACCCTTTGATCTCTCAACTAGAGTTCTCGAGATAGAAATGCATTAAGTTCTATGAAAAACTTATATCATCAGATGAATCATGTATATATATTCCTATATATCATTCAATCACACTATGAGTTATTCAATCCATTATATGAATTCCTCTCTCGATTCATTCACATAAACCAAATCAATTAAGAGGTGGCCAAGCTCTTAATCGCATTATGCATAATAACTCATAAACAATATGAAAATAACAATCTTGGATAAATAAAAATAAAGAATCAATCCATTGTCGTGGTTAGGCTTTCCACAGACCTATCTACAAATAAATTAATTCATGATAAAGGAAATAAAGCAAACAAGGGGTAAGAAAGAACTCATGATGTCGCCCTTGAAACTGAGATCTATAAGCTTGTCTTATCCTTGTCGTCGCCTTCCTCCTTTCATCCTTCTTTCTTTGTTGACCTCCTTCTTGAAGCTTTCTTGAATGATGTCTTCTTGATTACTTCAGAGATGGATTGAGTGATCCCAATGCTAGTCTGCCCCCCCTCCTCCCTTTATATAGCTTTAGAAGGAGGGGCTGTTTCCAACTCCTTTTAGGAGTTCTTTCTCAAAAATAGAAAGTCCTAATTAGATCTAATCCTATCCTATCCTATCTCTTATCTAGTAATCTCAATCTTCTTTATCTTTCTAGAATTACATTTGAAATTTAAATCTGATAAGACTCTTTATTCTTGAATTCGAGTTGGGCTTCTTTAATAAATTGGGCTGCTACAAGGCTTTTCTGCGAATTGGGCTTCAGCTGTGAGTTGGGCTTCTTTACGAATTTTCTTTGACTTTGGACCAATTTTGACCTTGATTCAGACCGAATCGATCAAACCTCAAAACATGAAAGTTGTAGGGTTATCCCTTATCTTTCTATTGCATCTTGAATCATCCCAATCAGAGTCCGGATGTGAGAGTTATGCCCAGATTACTGAATGGTGCCAAAACTGCACAAAATCATCCAATTAGCCTTGTTTCCCTCCTGTCGCCTTCTTGCTTGCCTTGAATCGAAATACAAGAGTAATGTGTCCAATTAAGTGTTAATCGAAATACAAAGAATAACTCTTGGTTTTATCCCATATAATGGTGATTGGTCGAGATAATGATTCTTTATGTGGTTTTCTAACTATATTCAAACATTATTGTGTATAAGGACTAAATTTTCTTCTTTACTTTTCATGTAGGGGCTAATGTGGTAATTTCTAGGACTTAAGAACTTAACTACAAATGTGTGGTTATACCCCTTCACAGTTTTAAGTAGCCTTTATATTCCTAACCAGATATTGCACAAAGTGGATGGAAGATTTCAATCCAAGAGCAAAGAGATAGAGTATCTCCTATGCAACCCTAATCCTTAGGAATAGAAAGCTTAATAACACCTCACACACACTTAAAAGTTTATTTCTCTTAATTTATAAGATATTAGAAGGAAAAGAGCAGGAATTCGACTAGCCCTAATTAAGATACTGAATTGCACTACTAATCTAGAACTAAGTGCTAAAAAGTTGTAGAGAAACTGAGTAGTGTTGGAGGAATCAATTTGGCCAATTGGATTAGCATTACAAATAGAATTTTCCATAAAAGAATTCAAAGTTGAGATATACAATTTGGGTAATATATAGGTATGAAATAAACAAAATTCAAAAATAGTCAGATGTTCCGTGGTGATCTTGGGTTTATAGTGAAACAAATAAACCTTATTTCCTGCATTTAACTTTCATCACCAGTGTGTCTTCTACATACACTTCCATATTCTAACCTATTTGTTCCATGAAGATCTTATTTATTAGCCTTTAGTATGCGGTGCTGGCATTTTTTAGGCTGAAGGGCATGACTCTATAGTAGTACAAGCTCTTTTTTATGATCAAAGTTTTCATGCATCAAAATCAAACTATACCTTAAGAATGCATCCATGAAGTTGAGCAAGTTTTATTCAGGTTAGTAAAACCAATGTAAATGTAGACTTGTCATTCATATCATTGAGCAAGTTTTATTCAGGTTAGTAAAATCAATGTAAATGTAGACTTGTCATTCATATTCTTGACCATCACTACATTCATGATCCATTATAGATAGTTGACCTCTCGAACAAACTTGGCCTGGAGGAGTTTGTTAACCTCGTTGTTGACCTACCACCACTATAGGGCAAAGTTTCTTTTCTTCTACTGGATGGGATGGTAGGTTGGGTCCATGCTACGAAGTTGTCTTATCACCTTAGGATTTATCCTTGGCATGTCTTCTAAAAATCAAGAAAACATAGCTAACTCAGCCAACCCTTTTAAGAAACTAAACTAAGGATTTGCAACCCAATTTGACTAGACCAAAAGATTATCCAAAAGAAGCTGATTCCAAAATTTTTTTGGGTGGAAACTTCACTTAAACTCGTGACCAAAGTATCACCTTTCTTATTAGAATATCTGGAAATTGCATTGTGTCTGCAAACATAACTCTGCACCATCTTTAGTTCGTTGTAGACCTTCTTGGGATGATTTGAGCTTGAGTGTGAACTACCAGTTTGATTTCTTCATTTGTGGACATCAAAATCAGGTACTACACTCAACTTTGATCCAATGGTTTGATATTTCTTAATCCAATTATTCCAAATGATCCATGGAGAAGACTAGTTTTCTCACCTTGTGTGATTTCAACATTAAGATTTCTAGAAAATTTTAAATTCCATCCTCTTTATTTGCTAAATTTTTTTGCATATAATGATTACTAGATAATCACCTTTCACTAAGACCTATCAATAAAATGATAACATACCCATATTCAAAAGAAAAAACAAAACAGCATATCAACTTATGTTTGCTTTAAAACACTAATTTGTTTTCATTTTATTGAGGGTTGCATGCAACCATAGTTGTAGTTGTAGGAAATATTCTCTCATCTCATTAATGTATACCTTTCAATTCAAGACAGCACCACTTGGATGATTTCTATAAATAATCTACTAGTTATTGCTTACTACTCAGTTTACAACCATCAAAGTGAACTCTATGGGAGATTTTCTTTTCCTCTTTAATATTTAATACCCCTTTGGATAAAAAAAAATGTTAAGAGTCATGCAAGTGGGTTACGTTTTATTTCATCCAACAAAGTTCCCTAGATTCATCAATTAGGGTATATCAATCAGGAAAGCCCTACAAAGTGAAAAGCAAGGGTGATCATGGGCTAGGCCAAGCATTAAACCTATGCCTATTATATTATATTACATATGTATATAAATATAAACCATTATATATTAGTATATGTGTAAAATATAAATGTTGTGGGTCAAGCCTGAAGTGTTGAAATCAAGCCCGGCCCGAAAATTTATGGGCTCGGTTAGGTAAGG